CAAAACCTGACTGGTTTCATCCTAACGCATCAAAGTCACAACAACAAACTGGTCTCAGTCTTTAAAGCATCCATTTCAAAGAAAACAAGATCACAAGTCGACTGCACACTGCTGCAGTAATTTTGGTTGTGCTGCCGTCCCCAGTCACCGTTTTCCCTAATGTGATTGGAGCACACAATTCACACGCTAAAATCCGCTTCATCACTGCTGCCAAACAATGTAACCTGATATCATTTCAGCTTGTTGTGAACCTGAAAAAACACAATAGGGAGCTGGGCTAGTGGTCTGCTGGTGGGTTAGTGATGCATCGGTGCCTAGAGATTCCCAGACTCCACAGAGGCTGGAAAAGATGAGATGTTACCATGCAACGTTGGAAAAACCTGAGTAATCGCTTTGTTTCTCTCGTGACTTCTTCTATTCCAACTCCAGCGTGTCACGACAACCGCGACTAACTACTGCAACTTTACCGACTGTTCTTATCAACTAGGAAATAATTCAATATTATGTAACTAGAGATTTGTGTTGGATACATGTCTCAAGTTTTGAAAGAGCAAAAGGAATATTAGATTATATGTGAGTTTGTGAGGCTGTGTGCCTGTGCTTTCATTTTTATTCCTGCGTGTGTGTCTACTCGTGATGAAATAAACCAGATGCATCTGATTTCATTGCATGAGTTATGTTAGTGCGAGGGTACATAATCACAATTTGATGCTGCTCTCTAAACACTTGGAGGCAAACTGAAACTAAAAAAACAGCAAACAACAAATCCATAGTTGGGGGGCCAAAAACATACGTGCCTCCGCTTGTGTGCGCGACCCTTTGTGCTGCCTTCTTTTCTGCTCTTTCTTTTTCGGTTGCAGTGGCAGGGTGCGCCGTGATCACGAGGTGCTAAAAATCGACAAAAGTGGAGTGCGTTTATTTTGAAGGAGCAATCAGTGGCGGTTTCTTCCTTTCAATCTCCAGCAGCCCATTTATCCCCAAACCTCTCTCACTGCTGAAAATTGCATCCACAATTCCCTCCCTCTAAATTGTATTTGTCTGCTCCATCTTTTTCTATCCACCAAGATTACCTCCTTCCATTCCTGCACCTCCTCTAATTTTCTCCTCGCTCTCTTTCCCATTTCCCTCATTCCTCCTACTGTTTGTATTTTCTTCCCATCTCTTGTTTCTTACCCTCTTCTCTTCATCCATCATCCCCCTTCCCTGAATCTCACAGCCATAATTGTCCCGAGCTAAAGCGAGAAAACAGATAAGTGCTTTTCTCCAAAAAACCCAAGGGGCCGGAATGACACTTGGGTGGACTGAGCGTCTTTTCAGCAGCCGAATGGCTTCGACGCGCTGCATAATTATCAAGATGACTTCTGAGATATGTGCTCGTCCTCTCAGCCAGAATGGAGATCTCAACCTCTGCTCTGGGTGGTCACTAATCATCTGCCTCCAGTATTATCTCATTGGTTTGTAGATTCATTCTAGTAATTGTCAGTGAACTTACAGACTGACTCAAGCCACTTGCTTTAATGCCTGCCTTTGACTTTTATTTAGTTAACCTGCTACTTCCAATTTATTGCTGTTCAATTTAGACCTTATTTGCATAGCTTTATAACTATCAACATTACTTTACATTACATTACTTTTGTAATTACTGACCTAAAGAACCATCCGTACTCTTATAAGCTCTGTCCCCATTAAGGTCAGATTTGTTATAGTCCACATTCCAGGCAAGTCAAAGTTTAACCAGGAAGTCATTCTGTAAAGTTTAACTGATGTTTATAACACACAGTATAAACACTAATTTTTAGTTTTACCCTTTCTTTCAAGGTAAGTTTCAGCTACTGTGAAGGACTGCGGAAGTTCTTTGTGATCACCTGGCAGCTTGTGTTTCTTGCTTCCTCCTTCTATATAAACACGGGGGGAAAAACAAGAAAAAAGAAACCGTTGACAGGAAAAAGTCCAGAGCTTTTATTATAAAAATATTCTGGATTGCTGAGAATTAAAACATTTTTTTTAAAAGACCGCTTAAAAAAATAAATAAATAAAATCTTAAAATACTGGCAGCTGCCAGTGCTACTCCCCTCAGCTTCCTAGTAGATGGACATATGGCATCAATTTGAAAATCCTAGGGGACATCTTTCCTGATGTATTGTGTTCACAAGATTTTAAGAAAACTTGACCTCTGACCTTGAGGTTGAGGCTAGCGAGATTCGAAGACCTATGGTATTAATTTGAAAATCGTACATCGCCTCCTTCTTGAGTTCTGGGATTCACAAGCTTGCCTGCCTGCCCACTGTGGTGACAATACCCCATCAGCCTTTTACAGCTTAGGGGGTAAACAAAAATAAATAAATCAACAATATGTGCGATGTCTCTGATCAACAACTAAACTTTGTCTGCATTCACAACAGCTTCTTTTTTTAAACTCACAGCACTGATAAAGAGGGCAAAGGAAGGGAGACTGACAGGCACCCACCCACAGACAGAGGGAGACTCCCAAGAGGCCCTCAATAGGATGAACTGTGTGTGTGTGTGTGTGTGTGTGTGTGTGTGTGTGTGTGTGTGTGTGTGTGTGTTATGGTTGGGTTACTGTGGTTGTTAACAGGGGCCCCTAATCCTGGGCTGGGTTCTAATCCTGCCACTGGACTGTGACCCTGATGGCGCGTGTCTATAAGACCCCCCCCCCTCGACACACACAGACACACTCTTTAGCCTGTTGCCACTCAGGGACACACGGCAGCTGAGACAGCAGAGTATCCCATTAAAGTGAATAAACACACCCAAACACACCTCAGATCCAAACAGAGGGTATGCACAAACATCTAGTGCACCAGCTCAAACTGTCAAACTGACATAATCCCGTAGAGACGGACGTGTGTTAGCAACACACATGAAAATGGAGACAACACAAGAAGGATGATGGTGCAACATACGCACACAGACACGCACACACCGGCAGCTGACATCTCCACAGCAGCCTTACAATAACAAACAGTTGAGCTACTAGAAATACCGCAGCGAGAGATGAAACGGGAGGTCTGACAACTGAAACCGCCGCAAAAAGCCTCCCGCAGATTCCAGCAGCAAAGAGAAGCTACGGAAAAACGACAAATATTTTTATTCGAGCCAAACGGCCGCGATCAGCCAATCAAGTCCTTGATTAGGCTGCTGTAATTTGTACAACAAACTGTGATTACATCCACTGCTTAGCGCCAATTACAGTTAATGGTGATTTCTTTGTGATCAAAGTTGTGACAATCAGAGGGAAAACTTTCTGCTGTGTAGAGAGAAAAGAAGAAGAAGAAAAAAGACTGAGACTGTCAAAGAGTGGTAATTATCAGGCAATGCAAATGAGGCCTTATGAACAAAACATGAGTGTTTCACCAGTTCAACAGCAACAAAGCTCTCCAGACACAGCAGAGGAAAATGACAGGATTGTAGTCGCAGCTGAGAAAGAATAACTCAGACCTCTGGCCAACAGGATATGCAGACATATAACCAATGAAATATCGCATTCAGAATAATTCACAAATAAATAAATTATGACATTTCATTTTTCACATCTTAACGTGAATCACTGAACAACAACAACTCAAACTCAACTATATGGTAGTAGTTCTGGCATTGTGGACAAATGCTAAATCCTGATTTTTTATTTTTATTTTTTTTAAAAAGCCCCAACTTTTCAACTGATGGAAGCATAAAGTGCAGATGACTTGACATGAATACAAAAAAAAAAGAAAAAAGCATACCATTATTAGGAGGGAGGGTCCCTTTGGTGGTCACGTTCCCTTAAGATTTTTTCATGTTCACTGGATTGAATCAAATAATTTCTGCAGATTTTTCAGTTTCTTCCTCAAAACTCGTAAACTGGATTCAGATCTAGAATATGGGGAATTCTCCTGATATAGTTAAGCTTTTGAAACCAGTGAGAGACACGATGCTGTAAAATGTTGGAAGTAGCCGCACACTGTAAAGAATAACACCCAAGATAAGCTGTGGCACCACAACAACACTGATCTGTATTATATGCCCTAAAATATAGAGAGAGGGATCAGCCGGAGTCCAGATCACTGGTGATGCAGATGTTAATTCTACCGTCTGTAACCTAAGCAGAAATCAACAGTCACCCATCCAGGGTTTCCCAGTTAGCCACCTCGAGGCTTGATGTGTGACCACAACTGTAAAAACTAAACAATCGAAGCCTGTCAGCTCTCAGCAGTATGTCTGCAAAAGAGCCCACAGCTTCAGTAGCGTTTAGTAGAGATGTAGAAGACAGGTGGAAGATAAAAGGAAGGAGCCACATATGGCAGCAGGCAACTGAAAGGCTGTACAGTGAAGCAGTATCTGGTAACTGGCTGCCAGTGAGCAAAGATGGATGCTGGAAGGAAGAAGAGCTGACCAGTTTGTTCCAATCCTCTCATCCGCACTGTGTGCTCAGCCAGCGTGGGCCGTCTCTTAAAACACACGGAACAAAAATACACATTTACTTCACCGGGCGGTCCTCTGGACAGTAACACAATAACACGACCCCACGGCAAAGCACTCATAAATCTACTTAATGGTGCATTCAATAAACCCACAAAGCTAGTGCAAACTTAAGATGTGCCAAACGAGGCGGTCAAATGAAATCCTTCTGCCCCACATGAAAAGACGAGTTCTCTCTCTTTGCTTATAATAAATAAACCGCCTTCTAGGGGTCAGGAGAGGAAAGGAGGAGACAAGAACAACACAATAAAGAGACAAAATGACTTTGTTTTGGATGAAAACTTTGGGGAAAAGTCTTCTGGTGTAGTGGTGATTCTTGCTATACAAGTTTCATCAGAAGCTACTGTAACAACTTCATGCATGCGAAAGTGTGCAGAGGAACTCATGATACTTCACATCAGGGTTTAAGGTTCAAATTCAGCATCAAACACTTCAAAATAAATTAAAATAAAATACAACTTTGAGAAGCTGGTAGAGCTCCGAGAAGAAAAACAGAGATCCAGCACGGACGGGATACTCACAGTGAAGAAGAGGTCCATGACACGTGTGTCCAATAGCGCTTCCCTCCAGGTCTCTGTGGGCTTAAGCGTGACGTTCTGCGTGGCCTCGAACATGGCGATGTAGTGGCGCCCCAGTGAATCGCCGCCAGTTAAGGCCAGTAACAGCATGAAGAGGAGGAGGAGGAGGAGAGGGAGGAGTACCACACAAAGAGCACACTCTCAGTTGATATTCTGGTTTCGTTTGACTGGCAGCAGAAACTTGTCAATTGTTAACCAGCTCTTCCTCTCATTGACCCTGTCAATCTTTATTCCACGAGTTTTTGTTTTTTCTAATTTTCTCACCCTGCCCTCCTTGGTGGCTTTGTTTTCTTCGCTCTTCCTTCTTTCTCCTTTGTCAGCTCTTCATTTGCCACAGCTTTTACCCACACAGTAAATCTCAACTTCTTTCTCACACTTTTGCCCACTGTCCCTCTCCCTGCATCTGCTTTCTCAGACTTTCCCCGGTCTTTACCCTCTGACTTTGCCTGACACCTTCTTCCCTTCTTGTCCTCTTATTCACCCCTCTTCCTACCAGCCCTCCCTTCTTTCGCTGTTTTCTCTCTTCTGCTTCCTCAAGATCTGAAAAGCTCCAGACACACTCTCGCCGCAGCCAATCCACACTTGGCCTCTTTGTCCACTCCTCTGCAAGACGTCCTCGAGACTCCTTACTGCCCTGAAACACTCCCCCTCCCTCCTCAGCCAATCACTTTGTCCCTCCTTCGGACTGCTTCCCAGTCCTGAAACCAAGGCCCCCCTCATACTTCTATCACACTCTGTCCTCTCATGTCAATCAACACTCTTTTCCCTCATGAACATTTTTAAATTGTACTCCTTGGTCCTAACATGACACTTTCTCTCTCCTTGTCCGCACAACCCGACCTTCTCATTTGAAACCATCATCTTAAACCCACAATCACTCTCTGTTCTGAAGGCTATAAAAACCTTTTCATCTTAATGTCCCTCGTCTCCTTTCTCCCAAACAAATCTGTTTTCCACGCTCTCGCAACACAGTCTCCTTATTTAAGACTTTCTCTGCACCCACAAGCTTTTCACAAACCCACAACACACACACACTCTCCCTGTCCTTATTCCAAAACTCTAAAGACACATCCACAACAAGCTTTTTATTTTCTCCTTAGCTCATCAAGAACAATCCTTTTTACTACTTCCCTTCCCTAGGCCAACCGGGGCTTTTCTCTCTCCTTAACCAAGCACCTCACAAAAACCCACAACACTTTGCACTCATCAGACAATTTGTCTTGCTTTATTAACCACCATCAAGAACCACTTCTTTGTTCCTTATCCCCCCAAAAATAATAAATTTGTCTCCTACTGTAAAATACATTTTCACCACAAATCAAACAACAAGTAGGTTCCTTCTGTTTTCTGTCCTCCTGGCTTTTGGAAGTGCAAACAATCTCTTACCTCACTAGAGAACAATCCATCAAACCTCTCTCTTCGTGGCCTCTCTGCAATCCTCCCTCCAACGCCGGCCTCGTCAAAACAAACTGCCACAGGAGACTCAATAAACCTGAGATCATCTGTATATATCAACAGCTTCACAGCTTCAGTTGACGCTTTTCATTATGAATTAATTTACTGAATATTTTTCTAACACATTCTCTCATAACCTGCTTAAGCGCATGGACAGATGGATTTTTCTGACAGAAAACAAAAGACACTATCCCAAACCAAAGGATGACATCAAATATTTTGTTTGCCAGAGGAACGGTTTAAGGCCCGACCAGAATCAGCTACAACTGAGGAGAACCATCGGCTTTCATGTGTGAAAAATTAATTTCCATAGTTGCTACCAACTGCTAAATCCCAAGTTAAACCCAAAGGCTAAACTGGCCTATCCATCCATTTTCCTAACTGCTTATCAAATTCAGGGTCATTGAGGGCGGGAGCCTATGTCAGCTGTTACGGGGTAGGGGGGTGGACACACCCTGCACAGGTCACTAGACCTAACACAGAGAGTCAGACAAGCAATCACACTTACATTCAAGTGCACAGCCAACTTGGAATCATCAGTTAACCCAACATGCAAGTATTTGGACTGTTGGGTTATACAGGAGATCCGCTAACTGCACACCCAAAGCTGCACCCTCCCCTCACATGAAACTCAGGGACACACAGGGTGGAAAAAAAAAACCCAACGAAAAAATAACTTAAAAACAAACAAACAAAACAAAACAAGATAAAAAAAAAAAAAAAAAAAAAAAAAGCACACCGATCCATATCACTACCCTGCGGCTCAGTGACAGCACAAGGAAACTTCCATAGGAATGTTTGATCAAAGCCAAACGGCGACAGAGGCTGGCAAGGTCACGCATTCCTGCCACACCAGTCGACAGTCACTCCCCGTGCACACACCCCACCACAACACACCACACCACACTTCTCGGCACAGAAGTTGGCACCTGTTTAAGGGCCTGTGGGATTGTGTGTGTGTCCGTCCATCCAATGATTGGCTTTCAGGCTACTTTAAAAATAGTCGTGGCGAGGCACAGGACCTCTAACTGAACCTTAGGGGGAATGAGAAAGAGGTCAGATAAGTAGTGAGTGTTCCTCAATGACTAACAAACAACTGGAGTTAACCATTTCATTCTGATTAAACCCTTTCCTTTCACGATTAGTTCCTCTGAAAGCCCCTCTTAACTTGATTTTAAACACTCTTTTTTTTGTCTAGCTTAAATGTCAGTTGTCATGTTGGCTTTGTAAAACTAACCAAGGTTGTTGCCTTTTAACGTTCCTGTCATGTTTTAAATCAAATTCCTGTTTGTCAATCATCAGTGGAAAAGTCCAGGAGAAAAAATATATAATTATGAGGCCAGAGACAAAAGAGAGAAGCAGGTTGGCGCGTGGTCCTAATGCAAGTGCGGCTAACTTGCGACACGCAACTAGACACAGTCTCCACAGGGAGGGACCACCTCTGTGATAAAGGTCGTACAAACACTCCTAAAGATCAAATGACTGAGACTAAACTCACAAAACCTCAGGAATGATAACTACACAGCTACTTCAGACATTTCATGCAGATGGACAGAGCAGTGATGCAGTCTGACAGGCAGAATTAGAGGAAAACTGGAAGAAATGTAACTGGTTTGAACCCTCCACTGTATTGGATTAAGAGCAGATTATAAACACTAGTGCTCAGGAATACATGTTATCCTTACAACTTCCAAGCAGATGACTGAAAATAACTTGGAAGCAACTTTCTAGGAAAAAGATAACATAATATAGCCAAGTGCAGCATGCTTATTAACACTTTTTATACCTGTGCAATGTCCTTGTAACGAAATGGAATTTTAATTATTTTATTTGAAAGTAAATATTTAAGGGCAGGCCAGCTAAAATAAGTCAGGTTCTTACAAGACCATATTATGGAGTGGAAACATTTTCTCCTCCTTCTACATCTTTATTTAATAGTCGCCATGTTGCTGTGCACGATGTTCTTTTATTCAACTTTTATTTTACTTTACAAATATTAATGCGATAAAGACTGTTTTCCTTAAAATTACAAGAAAAAAAATACATGCCATCACTATTATAGGCAATCACGACCTTACAATCACTGAGTCTGACTTAATTTTTTTTCCTTTTACAATCATTGTTCAAACGGAGTCTCTCCTCTCTTGTAAAATACCTGGAAGTTAGGTAAAGTTAAAAGACTCCACTACTCGACTACTTGCAATGTAAGACGGGGAAATATTGCTTGTTTAACCACAAAATTACCAAGAAATTACGCAGTACTTAAAATTACTTACAGAATAATTTGTCACCCTTCCTGTAAAACACCTGAAATTAAGTAGCACTAAAATGACTCGCGTTACCTAAAATTACTAACACGTTACCTAAATTACAGCATAATTCTTTCTTTGTTTCCTGTAAAAACATTACTTGTTAACCCCTTATTGCACTTTACCTACCTTTAAGTATTTGTAGGTGAATATAATATAATCCCTTCATTGGCTTCCTGTTAA